CGTGGCTTACAAACTTAGCTAAACCTCTACTTCCTAGGTGAATCGTGTCGTTACCCCTAGTGAACTTAACCGATAATAGTTTATTGTTATCTAAAAAACCATACATACCCTGAAACCAAATATTAGGAAAACAGTTCTTTATCATATCCTGTACCAAGTTGTTGTAGAGCATTATATTTTTATTCATTTCATGGATTCTTGATGGTAAAACAGGTACAACAAAAATGTTAGTAAGTGGACACAATTGACGTATTTCAGTTAGTTTGATCTTTAAAGTTGACACTGTCTCGTGGATATCTGAGACATTTCTTACGTTTTCACAGCGTAGATCGTTGGTACCACACATAAGGAAAGCGTTGGAGAATCCAGCACACAGGTGTGGATCGATGTCTTTAACACGGGCAGCCTTGACTCGTTTACCAGGGAAGGAATGACCAACTTTACCTGCACCATCCCCAAAGTTGACATCTTTGGTATTCGAATCACCGATTAAAACGATGCTTCGTCGAGACTGGCTGCTGAGAGATCTGAAGGTGATCGAAAATCTCTCCTCTGTTGGGTTATCATCAGGTAATTTTGGCACACCGTGGCGGTACCAATTTTGTGAAGACCTTGTCATAGTGTAAAGTGAGTTAGACTTCACATCAAGCTCAATAGGATCTAGGTCTTTGTCTTGTTTGGATTCAAAAAGCACAGTTCTAGTCGCACCAATTGAGATTGTGACGATTTTCGAGTTGGCAAGAATAGTGGATTCGTCATCAGAATGCATAGCTAGGTAGCTTTGGGATGGAGAGAGTCTGTCTGAGGAAGGGTAGTGGTTAATGAGGACCGAGTTTGGCTTGTGCTCGAGTTGTAGTTCTGAGGAGAACCTGTCAATAATAGAAACAAGTTCAGGTGGGATGGGCTCCTGTTGTTTAGGGGGCTGGGAACCAGTGTAGCTGTAGGGCTCTCCATACAGCCGGACGCTGTGGCCATTCTCTTCGATAAAGTCTCCAGAGTCCTTCAGAAAACCTAGAAGGTCTCCTACACTGCTCAGTTCCTTGTCTGTCAGGTATAAATCTTTGTACTGCTCGTAAGGCTGTTCAGGACATTTTAGATTTCTTTTGGTGGGTGATGGAATAACAGGTCTAGGTTGTTCTCTGTAGTTAAGCTGAGGGGATGCATTTGTTCTTCCTTTGAACTCCTGAATTTCATTGTTAAGGTCTTCTAGTCGAGCATTCAGGGATGTAATGTCGACGCTCGGAATTGACCTTTCAATGGTTTCTTTAACCGATTCACTTATCTTCTGGAGCAATGAATTTTCCAGGAGGGTGCTCTCGTTGAGTTGAACTGCTGTGGCACAGGTAATGGCTTCTTCAGCAAGAATTTTTTCTTTTTTAGCAGATGGGTGGTTCTTAGGCCTAGGAAAGATGCACGTGTAACACCAGGGACATAGCCATTTTTGGCTGATGCAGTCTAAATCACCCTGGGAGAGTTTATTGGTACCAGGTAGGTTACCGCAAGAGGCATGCCATGATTGTTTACAGTCTGAGCACTGTATTACCCAGTCTTTTCCGTCTAGGGAACTGCTACATGGGCAAGAGGTCTTTTTAGTAGATTCTGACTTTTTCTTCGTCTGATCACTACTGTTTTTCTGCTCATTGGAGCTTGTTGAACTTGACTTGGGAGTAGTAGATTTGTTTGCGAGGGGACTGGCTTGTCCTCCTTTCGCCAGAGGACTTACACCACGTGGGCTTTGACGACGTTTGGCTTGTAGGCTCGAGGACTTCTGGGTGGGTGATCCAGAGGATAGAGTTTTCTTTTCTGTGTTTTTCTGCATTAGTGTATGGTTAGCAAGGAGCACATGATGAGATCGGGACCAGGGCACCATAGAACTAGCCAGCAGCCTGAAAATAAGATGATGAGAGTAAAAGAGTTTTGACATATGAGTGAGTGATATAAAGAAGAAGAGTAATTTGAAATCAGGATGAGCAGTTTTTAAAGTAAAAAGAAGAACATAGACTTATCAGATGAATGCAAAATGTGTTTTTGTGATGTGTTTTTTTGCTTGGTGTCATGGGAGGGGCAAAAGGGCAAGGGAATGGAGGGGCGCGGCGGGGAAGCGGGATGGGCTGCACTGGGCAAGGGGAGACAAATATTGTTTTTATTAATTTGTCTAAAGTAGATTTGTGTATTATTTTTAGGGTGGGGCTGATTTTTTTTGTAAAGAAAAAAGAAGAGTATATTATATATAATACAGAACATGAATAGAAATGATTTTTAATGACGCATAGAGGTTAACACTACAACACCACTATAAACAATTATTCAAGAATGTCCATGCAGTCCAGAGTACCCGCAACAGGTAATGGGAGGGAGGAGTTGGGCTAGGGTGGGGCAATGAAGAGATGAGTGCTTGTGTCTTGATGGAGGAGATGCAGATGTGACATGAATCTAAGAAGAACTCATCTTAATATCGAGGCTGATAACCAGTCTTCTGATGCCACTGGTCCCGAGAGCTCACATGCACCCCGTGCAAGTTGTTTACAGCTGCATTTCTTTATGTTGCGGGTACTCTTGGCTTACATTGCACATCCTCAAATTATTTGTTATATAGTAGTGTTGAAAGTATTAAAAGCATCCCCTGAGCTTAGAGAGTAACGTTTCGCACTGGTTGATGGGTTTAAATCTCTTTAAGATCTGGTGTAATCATTATCAAGACGTACATTTTTAAAACTTTGCTGCCTAGGAGATATCAACTCTTTTAAGTAAGGAGGAGCTATATTATTTAAACACTTGTAGGCAAGTAGGGCAATCTTAAAATCTATTCTAAATCTAACTGGTAGAAAATGAACTTTCTTAAGAAGTGGAGTAGTGTGTGCCTTTCTTCCTCTCCCAAAAATAAATCTTACAGCAGAATTTTGCACCTTCTGTAAACGACTTAAATCATAAGAGCTCAGTCCAAAATATACGCTATTGCAATAATCAATTCTAGAGAGTACTAGAGCATGAACAAGCTGAATCTTAAGGTTAAAAGACAGTTTTGATGCAATAAACCACAAATTTCTGATCTGAATATTACATGCTTGAACCACTGACGTAATCTGATCACTCATTGAAAGATAACTGTCCAAATACAGCCCAAGACTCTTCACAGTTCCACTAACAACATGTGGCTCTTGATCCTTAACAATCTGTAGAGAGGCTGGAATATTTGTTGAGTCAGATTTAGAGGATATAACGATGACTTCAGTCTTAGAAGAATTCAGTTGAAGGAAATTGTTTGTCATCCATTTCTTGATATCAGACATACAGTGTTCCATATTGTGCTCTAGCTGTGATGGGTCATCAGAATCAAGAGTGAAATACAGCTGGGTGTCATCTTGTATCACGTGGTGACCCCCACGGTCGCTTCACTATAGTCTTCGACGCTATAGTCTTCGACGCTACAGGGGGAGCCGCGCACTTCGTGCGCGGCGGGTCATACAACGTATGACAAGTGTCATCAGCATACAAATGAATACAGCACCCATGCATACTTGAAATGTTCTCAAGATCTTTGGTGTACAATATGAATAGCAGGGGGCCAAGGATTGAACCTTGTGGCACACCTATCTCAAGAACAGTTGCTGAGGAAGACGAATCCTTGACTTTGACACAAAATGAACGGTTAGCCAAGTAGGACCTGATCCATGTAAGAGCAATGCCTGTAATGCCATAAGCAGATCTTAGCTTCTTGATTAATCTTGGGTGATTGACAGTATCAAAGGCAGCACTCAAATCTAGAAGTAAAAGAACAACTTTAGTTTTCTTGTCAATAGTTATCAAGATGTCGTTATGGATTCTGGTTGTTGCAGTTTCACAGCTATGAAACTTCCTATAGCCGGACTGAACTTTAGAAAGCAAGTTGTTATCCTCAAGATAACTGGTGAGCTGTATAGATACACACTTCTCAATGATTTTTGACAAGAATGAGAGATTGCTAATAGGCCTATAGTTAGATAGGCCTATAGTAAGATATTGCCTATCACCTATCACCAAAGTTACTTTGCATATACTGCTTCTAGTTACACGATAGCGATCTCAGTTCCCAATAACGTGTGACCCAACAGAAGGGATTGTGGAAGGACACGTACATTTTTCATTAACACGTGCCCTAGTATCACTCAGTAGCAGTAACTAAAAACCTTGTGAGTTTGATGAACCAACAAGACCAGGATATCACCAAGCTGGACCTGGGCAAGATAAAAGAAAAGAAAGAAGAACTGAGGAAACAGAAAGAGGAGTTTCTCTCCCAAAGGTTCAAGGTGCTCTATAATGAGTCAGATCATCAACTTAAGAACCACCTAGGCCAAGCAAGAGAGAAGGGAGCCTCAACATGGCTCTCAACACTACCACTGAAGGACCTCAACTATGTTCTGAACAGGCAGGAGGTCCAAGACAGCATACGCCTACGTTATGGTTGGAAGATCCAAGGAGTGCCCTCTAAATGTGCCTGCGTAAATGTAAACAGTATCTACCACGCCCTTGACTGTAAACTAGGTGGATACGTTTCCATGCGCCACAATGCCATAAGAGACACTGCTGCTTTCTTCCTCCGAGAAGTGTAAGGATAAGCTCATTCTCAAGGAAGACCAACACCCAGGATGAAGCACCCTTTGAATGAATATTCTATGACATCAGGGTCACACATCCTAACTGTGACACAAATACATTTACCTTACTAGATCTTACACAAATACATTTATCTTACTAGATAAGATCTATAGAGATCATGAGAAAGAAAAGAAAGATTTGTATGAAGAGAGAGTACTTCAGTCGGAGAAAGGATCCTTTGTCCCTCTAGTCTTCATAACCTCCGGAGGTATAGGACGCTCTGCACTGTGTTTGTAGATCGTGCCTCTGAGATGATAGAAGCCAGAAACATCGGCCGAGACCAGCGACCAGATTATCTCCACCTTAACTGGAGGGGTACAGCTAAACTAGGCACTTTGATTCGTAACACAGTGCTTCTTAGAATGAATGGAGGAGTTGATAGAAGGAAAAGGAGAACAGACGAGGTTGATGGACGCTCATATCGGAACGTGTTGAGTGGGACGGGTTCTACTACTGCTGCTGAGTCTCGACACCAGGATGGTTACCAGCCATTCTGACTCCCCTGAGTAAAGAGGTATGCCTAGTCTGTGCGAAGTTCATTAACGTAGGACAATTCATTGTTGAATGCTGTGAATGCGACTGCCCAATGCACCATAAGTGCTATACCAAATCCATTAACAATGACACATTATCTGACGATTTTTACTGTCCCAAGTGCGTACATTTAGCAGTTATTCGTTACAATCCATTTCGACTTGCATGCACTAATTTAAGTGATATTGAAAGTAGTGAAGTGGATGACACTATCATAAAAGTAGATCAAATACTAAATAACTGCGTATCGTACAATGTCAAGGAATTCAACAAAGCACTAGATAATCAAATGAATGAATTTTCATCGCTTCTCTTCCAAAACATCGACGGCAATAAGTCAAATTTCGACACTTTCGCTATTGAATCCCATAGGCTCACCAAGAAATTCTCGATCATAGCCTTAGCGGAAACAAATGAAGGTCCTGAATCCAGCAGTTTGTATCAATTAACTGGATACAACAGTTTCTACCAAAACACAATACCAGATAAAAAAAAGGGCACTGGAGTGGCTCTCTATGTTTGTGACACTCTTAGTGTCAGAGTAAACGGCAATGTATCCCATATCACTGAACATTTAGAAACTCTTTTTGTGGCCGTAAGTAGTACAACTTCCCCAGTAACAGTTGGTGTAATGTACCGTCCTCCAAGTGGTAATGTCAATGTTGCACTATCTGAACTCTCTGACATCCTTGACAGTCTCCCCAAGTGTAGTTACCTAGCGGGTGATTTTAACATTGATTTACACGATAAGAATAGCACAATCGTACAACGCTATGAAGAAATACTATTAAGTAAAGGATTTTTCCCCCTAATTTCGTTAGCAACACATGAGAAACCAGGCTGCAAAGCATCCTGTATTGATAACATAATAACTAACGACGTAGAGAGTATAGTAGCTTCTGGAATACTGACTGACCGTATATCACACCACTCACCCATCTTCCAAATCTTTGATAGAAACTTGGACTCTAGCAGAATTGACCTGAAATACAAACAGTATTATGATTACAACAAACCGAATGTAAAAGCTTTTTTACAGACTCTGGAACATGATCTCAATAATAATGTTATCGACAATTTTACAACATTTCACGACATATTTAAGGACTGTATAGATAGAACTTGTAAGTTAGAAACCCCTAAATGCTCTAAAAGAACAGCACTGAACAACCCATGGATTACACCAGACCTTGTGGGCAAAATTTCATATCAGCACGAACTTTACGATAAATGGGTAAAGGTCAGAAAAGTTAAATGTAAATTTGGGGAAATTGAAAATAAAGGGGGGACATGCCAATGCCCAATATGTTGCTCAAAACGTGACAAGTATAAAAAATACAGTGACTGCAGGCGGAAGGTCAAAAAAGATCGCCGCAATGCTCAATCTAAGTTCTATGGTGGAAAATTTGCAGAGTTGCACGGAAACAGTAAAAAGACGTGGGAATTAATTAACCAAATACGGGGTAAACGAAAACGACAAACCAAACCTCTATTTACTATCAATAATGAAAAAATTACTAATCGTAGGGTAATAGCTAATGAGTTTAATAAGTACTTTGTCTCCCTAGCTTCTAATCTTAACGAGGCATACAATGAAATCGGCGAACTATTAATTAATGGCATCCCCAGTATCTATGACTACCTACCAAAATCCAACACGACCAGTATTTACATGCATGATTGTACAATCGATGAAGTATGTAAAATAATATCAGAATTGAAAAATGGCAAATCGTCTGATATCCCAATACATGTTGTAAAAGCGTCATCCAGAATTATCGCCCCCCTATTATCTGTACTATACAATGAATGTTTGAAGGAGGGAATATTCCCGGACGATTTAAAGATTGGCAGGATCAGTCCCATATACAAGAAAGAAAATGAAGAATTACTTGAAAACTATAGACCAGTCTCTACCTTAGCCGTATTTGGTAAGTTATTCGAGAAAATTATATATAGTAGGCTATACAGCTTTTTCCAGTCACAAAATATGATCTATGAAAATCAGTATGGATTCCGTAAAAATCACTCTACTAGTCATGCCCTGAATTTCTCAGTGAATTATATAGAATCATGCCTTAATAAAAAGCAGCACGTGCTCGGAATATTCATTGATCTAAGCAAAGCATTCGATACCATCTCAGCTGACAAATTACTGAGTAAGCTAGATAATTACGGAATTCGAGGCAATGCCAACAAACTCATTGCTAGTTATCTCTCTAATAGATATCAATACGTCTCGGTCCTAGGAGAAGAGTCTGACAAGCTTCCAGTTCTCTTTGGAGTACCCCAGGGATCTTGTCTTGGTCCGTTACTATTTATTATTTATATCAACGACCTATATAGGGCAACTGAACTAGGCAAGTTCATTCTATTTGCTGACGATACAAATATATTTGTCGCGGATGAATGTAAGATAAAGTTATATGAACGAGCAAACCAAATTCTCAAACTGGTACAACTGTATATGAAATGTAATCTCCTGCATATTAACATTAAGAAATGCTGTTACATTCACTTTAAACCAACGAATAGAAAAAGCAAGGTAGAACATAATGAAGAAGAACACGTACTTACTCTAAACAATGTAGTAATAAAGCAAGTCAAAAAGGTGAAGTTTCTTGGTGTTATTATTGATGATCAGCTTAAATGGGATGCTCATATACGGTCGCTCAACACAAAGCTGAAATGTGAAAGTGGGAAAATTTGTAGAATACGGCACATTATTCCAGAAAAACTCTACAAAGAACTGTACTACACACTATTTGAATCACACTTGCGATTTGGGATATCAGTATGGGGTGGCCTTAGTAACAACAGGCTTGAACCAATATTTATCACTCAGAAGAAATGTGTTAGAATACTATTTGGTAACCGAGAGGCGTACTTAGAAAAGTTTAGAACTTGTGCTAGAACACGAAGTAAAGACAAGCAAAAATTAGGAAGCGACTTCTATGAAAAACAGCACACAAAACCGCTATTTAAGAAAAATGGTTTACTAACCATACACAGTTTGTTCAAACACACATGTTTATTGGAAATGTTCAAAATCAATAAATTAGAATCCCCAGTCCCACTCCTAAATCTATTTAACAGATCATCAAGACGTGCTGATCGATTCATCACTCCAACCCCATCCACCTCCTTCATATATCAATCGACAAAAATGTGGAACGATTGTAGAAACACTGCTAGCAATATCAACTTCTCTACATCAACGAACCTTGTGAAATCCACAATAAAAAAGGAGTTACTCGGCATGCAGTCCAGGTACGACGAAATAGATTGGTGTGAACTGAACTTCGATTCCAACGAACTGAAATTCTAATGTCTACTCAATGAAGATATGCTGAGCGCTAAAGCCGATTGAAATGTTAATGTCTAAAGTATAAAATTTCGGCGGTCACGCCGCGCATTTTGCGCGCTGTGCCGCTATTTTTGGCCCATCTTATCAGATATTATTTACAATGTACTCGCACAGTACATGCAGGGCATGCCTCAAGATCATATTAGTGTAGGAATCATTATGTTTTCAACAATTCATTATATGTCGAATTCAGCAGTGGGTCCTCTCTTCGTCCGGTTTGTGTGTTTGTCGCCTGTCTGGACTCTCGTAGTCATGTAATTTTTAATTTTTAATTTCTAATTTGTTATTTTAATTTTAATTTTAATTTTTCAATTTTCTAAATGTGTGTTCTGCTCCGGGACTCGATTACCGTATCGGCTTTCTTGAGACTGTAAATTTGGAAAGCCAACTATGCGGGGCGCCTGCCCACCGGCACTGAAGAGTGATCAAAGAATTAACTAAAATTTCCTAATATAACGATTGAATATAGAGTTGTTTAACCGGCGCGGCCATGGGTGTGTGGCCTAGCTTTGCACAGTGGCTGCGCTGCAACTAGCGCACAAATTTGGCGCCCCGCCGTCAGTCGAACTAAGTAGACCTTACGTCGATTTATCGTTAACAACGCATGATTTTGCCATTTGCACAAATATTGTAAAAATGCGCGGTCGAGCCGCGCACAGTCAACACAATTTTTGATGAAACAGCTACAAGCTAGAGCCAATATACTCTGCAAGCTTTTCAGTCAGCCTCTTCCACATACCAGGCAGCATTAATTTGCATTACCTCTTCCACAAGTACTCCACTCAAAAATTAGATTTCTAGAGCTCAATCTAGGATCATTTCTTTGTGCACTGTTTCAAAACGCGATCGTACGCTACCTTTTGTTCGCAGTTTTTTACCTTCTGTTCACAGCTTTTTTAAAAATTTGTTATTCATTGTGTATTGGCATATTTGTTATATGCTTTTTATTGTTCATGAAGTTGATGACATGAGCATATTATTGTCATGTTTTGTTGATCGTGCAAATTTTAAATTGCTTTATTATACTATACTTCTCCGGTTTTAGAAAATGGATTCTGTGAATTCTAATAAAGATACACGCCCTCATATTGAGCTAAATACTCTTTTCGAGACAGGAGCATGATTAACCAATGGATCGTTTGTGAGTAAAAATGTTCAAGTTTCTATTAAGAATGCTTTTGTTTAGATAAATTCATCGTTCAAAATATTATGGCTCAACGTTATTAGTATTACCGTACACGTATCTATTTTACAGTTACTCTATTTTAGGATATGACCCGATATTTTATATTACTGTATCTATTTTACAGGACATTTCTACCGTCAGTACCAATCTGCTCAGCAACTCCTTTTCTAACAACCATCATATGGCCATCGGTATATAGGACGACCTCATAAGACCTTTCCGGACATCCTACAAGATCAGAAGATACTGGATTGCAATCTGATAAGGTTCGTTGGCTCATGAGTGATAGAGATAAATGGAGAGAAGCGCTGTCACGAAACTGGAAACTCGTTCCAGACTTCATCGACCTAGGCAGGTAGGCATTTTACAATTATTTCAGAATAATATGACCTGACATGTTAATTATTACCGTATCTGTTTTACAATTACTTCAAGATATGAATCAGTGTTCAAAAATGCGTCAATTCAAGTTGGTCTAGTTCGATCGGCCCTTCTAGAACTATATCCGTGTTTCCTAAAAAAGGTTCATCATTTTTTCCAGTTGTTTCTTGCACCCTCTAGATCTCCTCCCATATTTGGGCCATTCGTATCGGCCAATTGAGCAGAAATTCAGGAAGCTTGGTTTCAGATATTTTTGTGATATCAGACATGTGTAATTGTACGCTCCTGTCACCAGTGTACACATAATTTTAGACTACTAGTTCATCTTCCTATGTGGTTATTGGCCTTTTGTTATTAACCTCATTACACACGGTTAGCAAGCTGTTTCCACCTCACTTTCCTTAATTAGGCTTCTTTGTCACCCCTTTTGTTTACTCTACAGACTGACAGGCTTAGTTATACTCCATTAATTGGATGATGTTAGTTTAAGACCGGCATATGTGTCACGTGAATATATTTAGAGGCAATCAGGGAGACTGTCGGGACTCTTTCTCTGTATTACTCTTGATAAAACGTATTACTCTCGTAAAACGGTGAATTCAACGGTAAATGTACTTAAACGCACTTTTAACCTTAGTTGTAGTGAACGCTGAACTTAGTCGTACTGAACGTACGTTCCAATCATTTTGTAGTGAACGTTTGTGAACGTTAGTATACGTTAGTCAATATTTTGATAATTTTCCGATAGTTTTTAACTTAAGATGGATACAATGAGATAAAACCATGTTGTTGGAATTAGACAGTAAATAAACAATGACCAAACTGACCAACTATGGTTACCACAGCAAATATACTGTTCTCGTATCTTGCGGTCGATTTAACGGTCTGTTCATGGTACTTCCCAAAAGATTTGGGGTATGATTACCCTGAAGGCTGAAACTTAAGAAGTCAAAGGTAAAATTGTTAAACTTAAAGTTGCTCAAGGATACGTTTCTTTCTCTGGAATTTGATCTTCCACAAAACTTCATTAGGGATCGATGTGTAAAATGTACATCGTTCTTATATATACGATATTATAGTATAACAACCATTCAGCTCAAGATCAAACAACATTTGTATTTGTAACATACCTCAAGGCCCTGAAGGCCTGGCAATGGAAACGCTAGTACTTTGCCGGATAATTGGGCTATGTCCTGCATTTTAATTTCATAATAGCAATTAACTTTCCTTATGTTCCGAACGTTAAAATTTTTTAGCGAACGCGTTCACAAACTATTTTTAGTGAACGTTCCGTACGTTAGATAGCTGAGCGTGGTGATTAAATCACTCTACACTTGAATTTTGACATTCTTCTAAAAGACCTCCCGAAAATTCATGAATAACCTGATTTTAAGGTTCTTTGATCTAACACTGCCGGCGTCTCTTCCGAGGTTGTCTAATCTATTTATCAATTTAGCTCGAGAGCTTTAAACAAACATTGCACGTGCCTCGGCTGCCCCGATGGAGTAAAACATTTAGCTAGAGCCATGATCATTAGTGGCAGTGGCTATCCCTGCTGCATATAATGCAGTACGTGTACTAATAGCAGCAGATATGAAATAACAACAAGATTGCTTACTGATTCGCTTGCAAGAAATTCCTGAGCTGAATAGGGCCGGTAGCTCAATTAAAGCACTAGGCATGTAACCCGGAGGTTGGCGGTTCATACCCGCCCCGGCATTATGCCGTCCCATGATTTTCCGAATTGCTTACCAGTGGTAGTTTAACCCTGGAAATGAAGTTAAAGATTATAATTGTATTATTTTATAGGGACGTACTAAAGAGAAGAAATTAACGAGGTCAGCGATATGAAGAAGACTGAAAGTAAAAATGTGCGACTGTGCGTACTAAATCACTCAACACTCAAATTTTAAGATTTTGAAAACTGTCTCGACCACTTGATATGACGTGGTAGCCTGTGAGCGTGTAGACCGCTCCTCTTTCATTTTTTTGAGTAGCCGATCCAAAACCAAAACCTGTGACCTGGGTTTACATGAGACGTGGGAGCCTGTGAGCGTGTTAGTTTCTCAAAAATATGTCGGAGGAGGGGATAGAATATATGCAAAAAGATGTCCGAAATATAAGGTAAGCACTTTTATTAATAATAATATCACCGTTTTTCGTCGTTTATTGCAGAATAAATTTTAATAACGTACGTCTCTGCTATATTTATCCTTTTACGCTCCAGCATAATCCAGGAGATCTCTGAAGTCTCGTTTCTCTTTGTATTACGTAGATCAGAGATTATTACATAATTGATAAACAGTATAAATTACAGGAGTTCCCGGTCTTGGCTTGGAAACTACGTCAAAAATCTGGGCCAGACACTAGAAACATCGATTTTGCGTGGCGATCTGTTCCTAAATCACATTGTTGAAGGAATTCCTAGAGCAAGTACTAAGGAGGTAAACCGATTTCTTACAGACATAGAGTCTGTTGCAATATGCTGTACCTATTTAGAAATTCCACCCTAATTTTAAGACTCTTTGATCTATAGCTTCCAGCGTATTTATCGATTTAGTCCCACAGCACTAAACAAACATTGGAGATAGATGATACAATTTTGCGTTTGTAAATAGACATTTATTTTTATATACAAGTCAAAGATTACAATTGTATTATTTTATAGGGACGATATAATAACGGCAAACGAAAAAAGATCAAGTCTCTATATCCAGCCGACATTATAAGTTCCTCGGAGTTAGGCGGGCTAAATTTCTTGAAAAAAGTCATTATAGGATTTACAGAAATCAGCGATGGAGAAGACTGAAAGTAAAGATGTACATTGTACGTGCTATGTCATTCAACACTCGAATTTTAACATTTTTAAAACTGTCTCGACCACTTGATATGATATTCTAAGAATCTGATATTTCATTGCATGCTTTAGTTAGGAGTCTTCTTTCTCGGAGTATGTAGCTGATATCTTAAAACATAGATATCAGCTACAGACTCCGAGAGTCTTGAAGCTCTGTTACCACCACCCCTGGTGCAATTCCGTCGGGTTAAAGACGGAGAGACAGGAACTCTCAGGGAAGGTCATGGCCTGCTACGTGCAACTCGTAGTCGTATGTAGTGTTCCTGGTAGGTGTTACTTATAAATCTGGTTAACGGGATCTTCAAACAGTTGATACACAGTTGTCTAGGTACTGTCATGTCTAAGCGGAAACTTGTCTCTGGCCCTCACCTATGGGTTTATATCTCAAACCACACAGTGTCCATGTCCTGCTCCTGAATATTTCCATATTTTTGAACTGCAGTCCATTAATATTGCTAAAAGTAAAAGTGATTTCAACTACTATACCTTTAAACCTGTAACGTCACTGTAGACCGCTCCTATATCCT